ATGGCAGTGGTACAGCATGAACCCAGGTGTGCTGGATCATACTGTATCTTAAACCATATATTGGGATACAGCCATGGCCTTTGCACTGCACAGCTCTGCTGCTGAGGCACTTATTCATAGGCCCACAGACAAGAGAGAGAGCAAAGCACGAGTTGCCAACAGCAACTAAACTGCCAGTGATCCAGCTAAGGGTCACTGAAGCTTGGGGAAATATCTTTACCACCTGCCATACCTCATTAGGCAGATCTTTGGAAATGTTGTGGAAGTTCTCTTTTGTTATCAAAGACCCCCATTACAGAAAAAATCCTTCAGCAACCAGAGGGAGCACAGTCACTTTCTCCTGGTAGTATAGCAAAGGGAGAACAAAGCACATAAGGCCCAAGACCTAATTACAAAAAAAAAAAAAAAAAAGAAAAAAAAGAAATAAAGGACATAGTATTACCTGGCCCATAAAGCATAAAGAAGGTACCTCTACCGCTGCATACACATTTGGCAAAGTTCCATTCAATTGGGTAACCACAGCATACTCCAAGCTGTCCCTAAGGAAAGTTGGAAAGTTGCACTGTGCACAGCTGCAGAGGTAGATTAGTTCTGTCATCCCTTGCTTTGTCTTCTGCACTGGATCTTAAGAGGGCAGTGCTTTTAGCTCCGAGGAAAATGTGTAGTACATCGAGAGTAACAGAGAGCCAGATAAGCTATAGAGACGAGAACATGCGTATCAAATGCCGATTTCCAAAAAAAGGTTTTTATTTCTGTGAAAATAGAAAACCAAATGAACAGCTCTCCATATATGTCTGGGAATGTCTCCATGGCCATAAAGAGAATATACATTACAGAATATACTGCTAAAAAAGCAGATGATATATGCTGTGGTAATTAGAGCAGTGCCACCGACAGACTTAAGGTCATGTTTGGAAACACATTTGATAATTGTACTGTATCTGGGGAACTGACTGTGCAGTAAGGAAATTCTTAACATTTTAAACTAAATTTTTAGTCTACACAGCAGAGGGCACTAGTGATATTGAATTGACTGTAGAGTTGCTATTTTGGTACTAGAAAAATAAAAAAAAAGTTACTTAGAAGACAAAGAGGTGTCAACAAAGACTAAAGATGCTGGTTGATGGTCTGTGTTCCATGTGTGGGCTTGTAAAGCTAAACCTTCGGTGTCTCTAGCATAAATAGGAATTGAATAGCAAATAACTCTAGTACAGAGCTCCAGATGGATCTTTATGTAAAGCCCATTAAAATATTTCCATAACACCCTTCAAGACTTTAAATTAATTTTCCACTGTGATTTTGTGCTGGCTAAATTTTTTTTCCTAGGGTATTTCCAAGAATTTATGATTTAAAATTGCCCTGATATGAAATACCTGCACCAAGACTCCCTGAATATTTAAGCTCTGAGCTCTGGAAAACAACCAGTACAAAAGAAAGGATCTTTTTACTACATTCTTCCAGCCACCAGGAATCTTACTGCTGTATGTCAGCCTCATGCAAACCTCGGCAGCTGGAAGTGAGGACTAGCAATGTATTTCCTAGTATATTTTCTGTTGGTCATGGTCACATTTTTGGATCATCATCTTGCCTGTACTTTAGCAGCACCAAATCCACTTAGTGTGGTCTTGTCCTTAAAATTTCATTTTGCTTCCTTTACTAACAAAGGACAGGGCAAAAAGTCAAGTAATATAAATTAAGTCCAAAGTTAAATCAAGTGGTGGATGCAAAACTAAGATTTGCTCTCACTGCCTCCTGGAAAATGTTGCAGAGGGATAACAATATAGATATTCTGTACTTGTATATTAAGCAAGATATGATTTAGACACAGAAAGATCAAACATACCAATAAGTGTGAAAACATATCTAAAACTTTGTATTCACATATCACAAAATGGTGGTCCTGTCTTCAGAATTATAGACTCAGAGAAGCTATCAATTAGTCAGTAACCAAACTTGTATTTGAAGTATGCACAGATATGAATTTTACAGAAACCTGACAGTGTCAGATTTCCCTGGAGGTCTTTGATAGATGGTTGTACTGAGGCATATGTTTGATTGAGATATCCATAGGACAGGACTAGGAAGAACAGTAAATGTAAAAGCCACACGCAATTTTGGCCTTCAGTTCAAGGAAAAGCTGTTCTATGTAAATGATTCATTGTTTCAGTCAATAACCAAAAATAGGAAGGATATAGGGAATTTATCATTAGAAGATAAAAGCATTTCTTTCAAAAATCTTTTTGCAACAGAGACATGGAAAGACTTTGGTTTGGGTTAGACAACATTTACTGATCAGTCTCATAACTAGATAATTTATTTGTTTTAATAATGTACTCAAGTGATTTTTTTCCCCCCATGGAGCGTATGTGTTGTGATGGAAAGGGAAGATTTCTGGATTAAGAACTAGGTAAAGGAAATGTTGGGAGATACCCTCAAGTTCAAGTAATTGGAACAGGAGGAAAGTGCCTTGGAGTACTTGCAGCATGGCTTGGGATCATCAGCTTCATGGAGGCTAGAAAAGAGCAGCTGAAGGGACTTGGTGTATGCACAGCCTGACATTGAAGGTGCTTGCTCACCCATGGCCTTTCTTATTTCTCTGTACTTTTTTGTTCTATAAATGTTGTAGTTTTCCTGGTCCTTCAGGGAATCCAGGATACAAGATTGAGACCAGACAATCACAAAAAGAAAGGTAGAGGAACTATACGGCATCCTACAAAGCTGGCCTTTAGTACTGGATTGGTCTGAGAAGATTCCTGTGCCTCTCCAAGCCCCACGTGCTGCCTGTGCCTCAGCAGCCTTGTACACAAGGATAACTGGCAGCTCTGAAGGCAGACATAGCAGGCTGAGTTCTCATCCCACTTTCAGTGAAGACAAAAGTATTGCACCAATGCAATGGTAAAATAATTAGTTTGTTGTGTTTCTGTGCCTGTTTTATTACTTGTTAATGGAATTCATTATTCAGTCCAAGTCCTTAGAGTATAAGTTTTAGAAGAATTTTGAAAATGATAAAGAAAAACAAATTATTGCAAAAAAAAAATTCATTAATCAGAGGTCTTAATTAAGAACCCTAAAATTGATATTAGCCTCTAATAGAATTCTTTTGACCACAACAGCAGGTTTTTCTTCATAACTGTGTAAGAAAGATGGGAACTATGACCTTTTCACCTGCTTTTTGAATATAGCTTTACTGCAGATGGATTTTGCAAGCAACCTTGAATTTTAGTGGTTAGAGTGTTCCTCCACATATCCTGTTCAGCACCTCTGAAGAGATAAGTGACCTTGTGGTCCTGCAGTGAAAAGGAAGGTGTGTAGAGCAGAGACCCCCTCATCTAGTCAAGTACATTATCCTAAACCCATGAAGCTGATGTTCAGGAGTCCAGCTGTTGGCAGAGGGAAGGGATAGAAGGGTGGGAGCAGTAACACCTAACACTACTGCCACAGGGTTCTCCAGAGCCATGGGACAGATTCGTAAGTTGCAGAGAGAGAAGTGACTTGCTCAAGGTTGCAAAACACATTACTTTCATGAATTTTTCATAACAAGAACGATGTTTTATAAATGGCACATATAAAGAGATCAAACATACAGATACAGCCCAGACTTTCTAGTTCCCTTCACAGGTTTTTAACCGTTATATTGGCTTTTTCTGCAGTAAATTATTAAAAATGAGATGCGAACACTTGCTACCTCTGAACCTTTATAACAGGTTTTTTAAAAATGCAGAAATGAATTCTCAAAAACACATTGTCTGAATATATAGTGAGAAAAAAAGTGTTTCATTAAATCAATTGCTGTGAGATGAAACTTAATATATTTTCCTGGTTTGGTGGTTTTTTGGTTTGGTTTTTTTGGGCTTTTTTTTTTTAAAGAAGGGTTTCTATTTTTTACAAAAAATGAATCTGTTTGGAGCCTAGAGTGGAAAACTGTTGCCTTATGGTATTTTGTTTTACTGAATATATATGTACTATCCATCTGGGTGCTCTGGGTTATAAATATGCTTTAAGCTTGCTGTAATTCCTAAGACTTCACTTTTGGCTGATTTATAAGAAATTTCATTAATCTCAGCAACAGAGGAATCTTGAACTGAGCAGCAGATTGAAAATGAACCGAAGGCTGGGGACTATAAAAACTGCCGCACATGAATCAGTGCTGAAGTTCTTAAAATGGTAATGATCATTTGTAGTGTGAAGGTCTTTTTTCCCTTTGCAGTAAGAATTTTTTGAGAGTTTTTTCAAGGTGCCAATGAAACTGCCAGCCCTGCAGCTACAGGGATATTTTTCAGCATTTAAATAAATGGCTATTCTCATTTCTGTGTTCAGTACACATTTGCTAATGACTGTTTCTCTGCTGCTGGTGCCAAACAAAATAATTGAATAGGACATATCATTAAATTGGATGATGCTCAGTATACTTTTTTATTTTAATTTTTAATTTTTTTTAACTCTTATAGACAAGATCTTGCCCTGTCATCTGTATGACAGTCAGTTTTAGAGACTTACTTCTAGTTAAACTCTGATTCAGGAATCATGTTTGTATAGACAAGAGATTTTTACCAATACCAGAAACTTGCTTTTCATATTATCTCTTCTCTTGCAATGTGTAAAAAAGGTTAACACCTTGAATACTCTGATAATTCCATCTTATTAGACTCCTATGTTACTAACTTTTGCCTTTTTAAATGCTTGTCCTTTCTTTCAGCTCTCCCCTGAGTTACATTTCTTTTGGGCATTCATTGTGATTGAACTTCTTATCTGCCATCCACCTGCATACACTGTACATTGGAATGTGCAGGAGAACTAATGTATGGCTATTTCTTATCTCATTGCCAGTTGCAGTTGACATACATATCTGTACAGAAAATAATATTAGGAATTCTATACCCGTTCTCAGTATTGTATTTCAAGAAATTGGTAAAGTTGACTGAAAAGGCTTGAAAGCCTTTGTTGAGAGAACATAATTATTTGAGATTAAGTTAATGTTCTCCTTTCTTCCTTTCTTTCAGACGATTCAAACTCCAGAAGGACCAACACCAAATAAATTATGAATGTTGAACAAGATGACCTTACATCCACAGCAGATAATGATAGGTCCTAGGTTTAACAGGGCCCTATTTGACCCCCTGCTTGTGGTGCTGTTGGCTCTTCAGCTTCTTGTGGTGGCTGGTCTAGTGAGGGCTCAAACTTGCCCTTCTGTCTGCTCCTGCAGCAACCAGTTCAGTAAAGTGATTTGTGTACGGAAAAATCTTAGAGACGTGCCAGACGGCATCTCCACCAACACCCGGCTACTCAATCTCCATGAGAACCAGATTCAGATCATTAAAGTTAATAGCTTCAAGCATCTGAGGCACCTAGAAATCCTGCAGCTCAGCAGGAATCACATCAGAACAATTGAAATAGGGGCTTTCAATGGTCTGGCCAATCTCAACACTTTGGAACTCTTTGACAATCGTCTGACCACTATCCCAAATGGGGCTTTTGTATACCTATCAAAACTGAAGGAACTGTGGTTGAGAAATAACCCCATTGAGAGCATCCCTTCTTATGCTTTTAACAGAATCCCTTCCCTCCGGAGGCTGGATTTGGGGGAATTGAAAAGGCTTTCATACATCTCAGAAGGTGCCTTTGAAGGTCTGTCCAACTTGAGGTATTTGAACCTTGCCATGTGCAATCTTCGAGAGATTCCTAACCTTACTCCGCTTGTAAAACTGGATGAGTTAGATCTTTCTGGGAATCACCTGACTGCCATCCGGCCAGGTTCTTTCCAAGGGTTGATGCATCTTCAGAAATTGTGGATGATACAGTCCCAGATTCAAGTGATAGAAAGGAATGCTTTTGATAACCTTCAGTCACTTGTAGAGATCAACCTGGCACACAACAATCTAACACTACTGCCTCATGACCTGTTCACACCGCTCCGCCTAGAAAGGATCCACTTGCATCACAATCCTTGGAACTGCAACTGTGATATCCTTTGGCTCAGCTGGTGGATTAAAGACAAGGCACCCTCCAACACTGCATGCTGTGCCCGTTGCCACACGCCCCCCAGTTTAAAAGGAAGGTACATTGGTGAGCTGGACCTGAATTACTTCACATGTTATGCTCCAGTCATAGTGGAGCCACCAGCAGACCTCAACGTCACAGAAGGCATGGCTGCAGAGATGAAATGCCGGGCATCGACCTCCCTGACCTCTGTATCTTGGATTACTCCAAATGGATCTGTAATGACGCATGGGGCATACAGAGTTCGGATTGCTGTGCTCAGTGATGGCACGTTAAATTTTACAAAGGTAACTGTGCAAGACACGGGTTTGTACACATGCATGGTGAGTAACTCTGTTGGGAATACCACTGCTTCTGCCACGCTGAATGTGACCGCCCTGGATAACCCTGGTTACACGTACTTTTCAACCGTCACGGTGGAGACTGTGGAACCTTCTCAGGATGAGGCACAGACCACAGAGCAGGTTGGGCCCACACCAGTTACCAACTGGGAAACCATTAACATGACAACCTCACTCACTCCACAGAGCACAAGATCAACAGAAAAAACATTCACCATTCCTGTGACGGACGCAAACAACGGGATCCCAGGAATAGATGAGGTTATGAAGACTACCAAAATCATAATTGGTTGTTTTGTGGCTATCACTCTCATGGCAGCTGTGATGCTGGTAATTTTCTACAAAATGAGGAAACAGCATCACCGGCAGAACCATCATGCTCCAACACGGACTGTAGAGATCATTAATGTGGATGATGAGCTTACAGGTGACACACCCATAGAGAGTCATTTGCCCATGCCAGCAATAGAGCATGAGCACTTAAATCACTATAACTCTTATAAATCTCCTTTCAACCACACAACAACAGTTAACACAATAAATTCAATACACAGTTCAGTGCATGAACCGTTATTGATCCGAATGAACTCGAAAGACAATGTTCAAGAGACTCAAATCTAAAACATTTATGACATTAAGGGGTGGGGTGGGGGGACAACAAAAGATGGTTTATAAAACAAATGACACAAATGACTGGGCTAAATCTACTGTTTCAAAAGTGTCTTTACAAAGAAAAAGAAATTTATTTATTAAAAATTCTATTGTGATCTAAAGCAGACAAAATTATGTGTATTCCTCAGAACCTGTTTTTGCTGCAGTTATTTACCCTCCTCGTTCCCGTTTTCCTGCCCAACCTACCCTGTCTCCCATTTGCCATATTTTTCATAGGAGATCTTGATTCCCTAAAAGAACTGATCTAGGAAATTTTGTAAGAATTCTGTTACACTTTGGGAATTTTTATGGTGAATTCTAGTGGTGAGATTCGGTCTATTTTGTCACTTTCTCTTTTTTCTTTTGTTTTCTCATGCCCTTTTTGAAATTATTCAACAGAGAATGGAGTAATAACAGTAACTTTGCAAGTGAGAAAAACAAGTAAACCTTTTTTCTCCATGTAATGATTTGCTCTGTATTTACCGAAAGCACCATTGTGTGAAAAAAAATGGAAAAAAATAGTAAAAAATACAAACCAAAAATTAATTTACTTGTGAAAGCCTATAAAACCCATGATCTTTTAAGCAATTCTAGAACCAGAATTTGTAGTTCAAACACTAAACTAAGATTATAAATAAAATATTGGTTTTTTTCTGTACTTGGATATAACTCATTCTTAGTGTGGCTTTAAACATCAAAAGTTTGTTAAAATTCTTATGATAATCTGCTCTGATGGTCCAAAACACAATCACTTAAAAAAGAATGATTAAACCATTTTGGATCATTACTGAAGGATATCACAGTTTTCATTTTAGCTTATGAAAACAACATACTGGCAAATAAGAGTATTTGATTTCTAATGCAAGACTGAGATTGTTCCTTCTAATGGTGTTTGCAATTGTCTCTACTATATCACAAGATGCTTTCACAGTGCCAGAAAGGTTTTGCAAGGAACTTCAGTTGTCTCTGAATTTAACAGACAAAACTAAAAACTTTTTTCTGTTTTTTATTATTTATAACTGTCAATAAGAAAATTCATCTTTATATAAATTCTAGTGGTTTCCAGTTCAGTTTTTCTGGGACTTCTAGGAACAAATATGAAAGAAGCTTAGCCATAATAATACCTGTAATAAGAGCTGTATCCCTATGTGCAAAATCAAATCAACATGTTGTTCATGGAGTAAATCACAGGAAGAAATCTGAGTATTTGGGTTTAAAGAATAGAAAGAACAAAGTCAGACAAATCAGAGGATATTTTAAGTTACTGTAATTTGCATGATAATTAGATTCCCTGTAGAGTACCCAGTTTCCATTAATTTAAACTCAGACTCATGTACCAATGGGAAATGCACATCCTTTGCCTTTCTGTTTATATACATTCTCTGGATTAAGCTTATTGGTATAGGACTGGTATATACTGTGCTTGCTGCAAACCAAAAGGAAGGCTTTCCATAAGAAAACCCACTTCAGGACATTGTGTTCTTCTAAGCAGAAGTTCTGCCAAATTAAACTTTATGCATTGGCAGCTGAACAGAAGCATTTTAAGATTATTCAAATTAGGAAAAAAAAAAAAAGGAATCTTATATATGATTTCTGAATGCCTTTTCACCTGTTTTCTTTGTTAACCACCCTTCCTGAGCATTTCTGGGGCCTCATGCCCCTCAGCAAAATCTGTTTGGATATTTCTAGTATGGAACAACATACAGGAGGAAGACCCCCCTGAAAAATATACTTCTATTCTGTAAGGTTAAGATGGAATTCCGATAGATTGAGGAGATAAACATCTCCTGTTGGATGCACAGTTCTCAAGGTTGTAAGTGAATGTTGTAGTACAAAGACCTGATTTAAAGAGGACACAGTGAAGATAGGTGACAATGAATCACACCCTGCAAAGAGTCTGATAAGTATAACACCGAATGAAACCCAAAGTTCTATGACAATCTCTAAGAAACATTTGGCAAGGCATTATCCTTTGATGTGCTACATGAAAAATAATATCTACTCAAAGAGAATTTTAATAGAGGGCAAAGATGGACCTGAATGTAAAATACTGCAGCTGTGATTCTTAGATTTTCCTCTTTCTTCAAAGTGCAATTGAGTATTTCATTGGTGATTTCTTTTAAGCATTGTGATAGATTCTGTACAAAATTTGCCCACCTGGCTAGGAACAGTCTGTCCATGGCCAATGCTAATCTGAAAATTGAAAAAAATTCTATTCAGGAAACCTAAATCTGAACTATTTAAATCTGTAATTAATGGGTTTATGTTAACAAATTATGGCTACTCTAGCCAGTATTTGTGAAAGCAGTTATGGTCAACATGGTTTTATAAACACATAGTATTTTACTAACCCCTAAAATAGATTAGTAGGAGGCCTATAAGAAAACAGTTGTCAAGTACAATACTGGATCAGTGACAATCTTTGATACTTTTTGCAGTAATACAAAATACTGTCAGTGACTGTTTTAATCAATATATTCATTCTTCCTGAGTGTTAATCCAGTTTTATTGGCTAATCAAAAACCAGATATTTCTGCTGGCTCATAATAATCATAAAGGAAAAATATTGGGGTATATTTTGTTGGGTAAGTATATATCTGTTATATTAGTTATGATTTTCCCATCATGTTCCCTATCCTTGGAACCACAAATATTTCTGATTCTGATTCCTTCCTACTTCTACAAAACACTCAATACTTTTGCAGGTGAATTAGATACCAGAGTTAGAAAATATCACAGTTTAAATTATGAACTGAGCTCTGGAATAAAGTGAAAGGAGTGCCATGCTCTCTTGTTTTGGTGCTCAAATCACATGCTGATACCTCCTGCTGCTGCTCCAGAGATAACAATGTTACGAAAGAAGCCTCTATCTCCTGTGTGGCAGAGCATAACTGACAGAAGGTTCTAATGACATTTCTCTTGCAGGTGACGACATTATGTGTGATGTAAAGCAATTGGGCAAAAAACTTTGTGCTCTTGATTGTGATCTATCGCTTTCTAGTGGGCTCATGAGAAATGATGAATCATTCTTCAGTTCATTTGATGGAGCTTGAAGATGTTTATCTGCTGTCCTGTACAAACAGAAATTGCAAAGCATTTTCTTTCTAGAATTTTCATCAAGTCTTGCGAATCTTGCCATATACAGAAATAACATGTGTAAAAGCAAACCAAGTCAGTTCCATTCAATTCATCATAGAAGATGGACATTTCATTTTCCTTCCAAAAGGGCTAAATGTATGAAAAGTAATAGATTAATTGTATTTTTTGCTAAAATATTCTAACACATTAAAAATTATATTTAATCATTTCAAGATTCCCTGTCCCCACTGACACAGGTTGATCACAGAATTAGAGAAAAGTAAATTAATATTGTACTTTGTTATACCAGCTTCAAAGTATTATGAAAATGTTTCATAACAGCGGTTATAAGCTTTTATATGTCAAGTAGACCATTAGTGTAGTCTTTTCAACAAGGGGCATGGAAAATATCTTCACTTTTTCACCCCTCTCTAAAGGTTATATCCCATTTTTACATGACCTAAATACGTAATTTTTGAAATTCTCACTGTTTTTCTTAAAGTCCAGGAGGTGAAGATCTAAGAAATGTTAGGAACTACCTTGTAATTTCATACCAAAAGAAGTAAATGAATAAATAATTTATCCTTATCTTCTAGATGTAATAAAAGCAGTTAGGCTTTAATGCCTGGGTTTCTGTTTTAATTAGTAGAAGAATTTAATTTATCTTTTCTTCATTTGTGCAGGTGTTGCCAAGAAAAATCTCATTTCTAAAATTTAATCTGCAGTTAGTCCAAAGGTAGTGGTGGACATTTTATTACAGAGGTGATATTCTATACTAGTATTATTAAAAAAACTAACACATGGAGCCACCACTATTGACACAGCAGAGATTCATCAGCAGGAGATGGGCTTGGGGAAATTCTGGGAAACCTACCAGGTAAATCTGCAATTCCTGCAATGCCTGTTGGCCCTGGAACCTCACTTATGGTGGTGCCCTGTGAGAACACGGTGGTTGTGTCTAGTTTGTGGATGGAAGAGCACAGCAGGGCAGAAGAGATTTGGGTTGGGAATAACTTCATTGACTGCTCCCCACTTAAGAGCATAGATGCAGCAGTAATCAGTATAACAGCTAATAGCTCAGGTCCAGACTTGCAGTGTATAATTAGAAATGAGGAAATTTTTTTGTTTGTTTACCACATTTAATCACAAGTTGGTTGTAAGGCTTAATGCATGCTAAACAATGGAAAACTTGAAGAATAAAAAACCAGATTTACAGTGTGAGTTTTACACTGGTAAAATCATGCTTTGAAAAAATATGAATATTGATTTGATTGACTCTAGGATAAGTTTTTCCGTATTAACTCTATTAAGACTGTCTCAACCCATGTCAAGGGAAATATAGATTGGATATTAGGAAGAAGTTTTTACAGAAAGATTGATGAAGTTTTGGAATGGCCTGCCTAGGGAGGCAGTGGAGTCACCATCCTTGGATGTGTTTAAGAAAAGACTGGATGCGGCACTCAGTGCCATGGTTTAGTTGAGGTGTCAGGGCATGGGTTGGACACAATGATCTCTAAGGTCTCCTCCAACCTGGACATTCTGTGAATTCTGTGAAGACAAATGAGATCTTTAATAGTTAAATGCTGTTTATTTTGATAAGAATAAGCCATGATTTTGTTAGGTGAGAAATGTGTGAGAAAATATTTTGTTTAATTTGTTTTGGTTTTGCTCCTTGCTCTCATGTTTATAACATACACCCAGATTGTCTGGTAGTCAGAGTTCTCTCCAAAGGGCCAAATCAGTGAATTCTGACTGACTTTCCTAAGAGACCTCTTTCATGTAGTGTAGCTCCAGTGAGGCATGAAATTTTGGAATGAGAGGGAGACACTGAGTTGATTACATAATCAGATGATACTATGGTCATCTTTTGTAAAATAAGAAAATGAAAAATAGTTTGTTATTTTTGAGAACTTTGAAAAGAAGATATTTTGTTAAGATATAAATTCTTAGCAAAAAAAAAAATCCCCAACAAGCCAGAATAAATCAGAGTATTATCAGACTTGAAAGGAACAGTAAGATGTAATGTTTAAAGCTAGAAGTGGGAGTTATATATGTCAGATAATATTTACATATTTTCTACCAGCACAATTTTAAAACTCAAAAATAAGTTACTTTTTTGTGTATCATGAAGCTTCTACAAGGATTCTAACTGCTTTATCCATACTTTCCAGTTTTCTTCTTGCATTTTGCAGTACACGTATGATAAAATCTGGGCTTTCAACTCCACAACAAGTTCTCACACAGAGTATGAAAGGAAATTCTCTTAAATCATCCAAACTCCACTTATTAGAGGTGCATGTCTGGTACTCTCTGGGGTATTTTTTAATCTACTTGAAATGGCTTGTGCAGTGAGAGATTCCTTAGTTTCTTTGATTCTCCACTATTATAGCAATATACAATTAATATCTTAGTTTGGACAAATTTTTGCAGGCTTTATATTTTAATCAAATTTAAAATATTAACTGAAATTTTATTTAATTTTAGTAAAACATTTTGAACTCTATTGACTTGAAAAAATACTTATTTTCTTTTCACAGCAGCTCAGTTAAATGCAACTAAATTCCAAAAAATTTAAAAAAA